AGTTACAAAGATGACACATAACTTATTTAAATAAGAGATGTTAAAATTTTTAACACTGTGCTTTTCTTTAAGAGAATATTTGAGTCACTGTCCTGTGACTGTCTCAAATGAAGCAGCAGTCTTCTAAAATCCTACACACACTTGGCTGACATTTTTCACCTAAACCCACTGCCTCACTCATTTCATTCTGATGCACAACACAGTAATTACCTTAATAGCAGAACTAGAACACCTTGTTACAATGAGATGCATGAGAAAGTAATTTCATTTCAAAAACAGATTATTGGAAGAAATAAAATTTCTAAGAGGCTAGAAGTAAAAAGATGGAAAAAAACATAACCTTTAAATGTTTTAAAGCAAAAAATATATTCCTTTAGGGGAAGAACAAGATAAATGATGAACCCTTGTGAATATTGCAGGGGTTAATTTCCTCCAATGCAATATAGGAGCAATATCTTTCTGCTTCAAAATTCAATTAAGTTTAGAATACATGGTATTTATCTTGCTCATAGGCTCAATCATAGAATCATAAGTTCAGAACGAGAAGGGACCTCAAAGAACAACTAGTCTTAGCACTCTTGTTCCATAGTTGAGAAAATGAAGCCCGGAAGAGGTAAGAGATTTGCCCAAGGTTTCACAGGTATTGAGCTGGGTTTGAACCCAGGCCCTTGAACTCCAAATCTACCACTGTTTTAGGTATACCAGTGATTTTCCTAAAGTGCATCTCTGGCTATGTCATCTCCCTACTCAGTAAGCGTCAGTGACTTCTTGTTACCTCCAGGATCAAATATAAAATCCTCTGTTTAACATTTAAAGCTCTTCACAACCTGGCCCCTTTCTACCTTTCCAGTCTTTTAGAGTTCTTTTCGCATGGTCTACAATCCAGATGCACAGGCCTTCTTACTCATTCTCACACATGAAACTAAAATGTCTATGCACTGACCTCTTCCCCTGCCTTCCAACCCTCAATCCCATGCTTGAAGACTCTTCTTTCTTTAAAAAGAATTTTACTTATCAAGCGTTCATCTTTCTCCCTCTGTTCGCTGAAAGACCCATAACCCCTGTATCACATAAGCACAGTCAAGTAAAACAAATTCCAATATTAGTCAAGTCCAAAAATGCATTTTTCCTGCATTTTTCTTTTATGACATAGGCAGTATTCTCAGCCCTCTGGAATTGCAGTTCATCATTTAATTGAAGAGTTTTTAAGTATTTCTGAAATTTTTCTTTTTATAATATTGATGTTATATAAATTCTTCTCCTGGTTCAGTTCACTTCACTCTACATTAATTAATACAAGCTTTTCTATGACTCTATAAAACCATCTTTTCCCTCGTGTCTTATGGCACAGTAGTGTTCCTTTATATGCCACAATTTGTTCAGCCATTCCCCAATTGATGGGTACTCCTTTAGTTTCTGGGTTTTTTTACCACTATGAAAACAGCTACTATGAGTATTTTTGTATACATAAGACCAGTCCTTTTCCTTTCCTATCTTTGGGGTGTTGGCCTGACAGCAGGCATGCACAGTTTCGTAACTTTTTGTGCATAATTCCAAATTATTTTCAGAATGCTTGGGCCAATTCACGGCTCCACTAGGAGCACAGAGATATGCCTGTTTTCCCACAGCCCCTCCAAGATTTATTATTTTCTCTTTTTTGCGTCAACTTTGCCAATCTAATGAGCATGAGGTGGAGTCTCAGAATTGCTTTAATTAGCATTTCTTCAGTTATCTGTGATTTGGAGCATTTTTTCATATAACTGTAGATAGCTTGAATTTCTTCCCTTGAGACTACCTATTCATAACTTTAAACCATTTATCAATTAGGGAATGGCTCTTTTATTAATTTGTTCTTCTGTATCTCGGATATAAGACTTTTATCATGTAAATTTGCTGGGTAAAATTTTTCTCATTTAACTGTTTACTTTCTAATCTTAGCAATATTGGTTTGTTTATGCAGAAACTTGTGAATTTTGTGTAATCAGATTGTCCCTTTTATTTTGTGGGATCCCTTCTGTCACTTGGTTGGTCATGAACTCTCTCTTTATCCATAGAGCCTTTCCACATCTTCCTGTCCATGCCCTCAACACCCCCTGAACTGACTAATTAATGCTAATTATACATATTGTTTTATTCATATGTCATAGGTGAAAAGTTTTTATAGTTTGGTGTTGTGAAGCTTTTTAAATCCTCTCTTGTTTCTGTGTTGTGGTGTTTATGAAATACTCATTTGGGGGGTGGTGCTCTTCAAGTATAATATAATTTATCTTGAAATTAATTTCTGGTCATTTATTTTGAACCTGTGGTTTTTCACAGGAATACCTAAGTTCTTTCTGTAGTATAGTGAACACTGGCATATATTGGGAAAATGCTGTATTTAGCATTGGGAAAGATGTGACTTTCTACCCTGCCTCTGATACTTAGTATTTGTTGGAACGTGGACAAATTATTTAACCTCCATGAGCCTTAGTTTCCTCATCTGTAAAGTGTAAACTTTAAAGTTTCATGTCAGCTAATGATCAGGAATACTTATGCACTTAAAAACAATCCAAATAGTGTGGACCATTGCTCATTTTGTCTTTGTTGATTGATGTTTACCTTTCATTTTTAGATGTTTACCTTTCCTTTTTAAACAAGGTTTTGGATTACTGTGCAAAATCTGTTTTGTAAATCTTAAAGTGAGTTATTATTCCTTACATTTTATTCATTTAAGAATCTGGTCATGTGTGTACTCCCTCTACCAAAGGTAGTCATAGCCTCTTCATTAAGCCCTATTCTGTCAACTCATCTTGGTGTGCATGGGCTTCTGGGTTTATAAGTTTGTTTGATAAACCCAAAGACCCCAGCTTCTGGGATAAGAACTCACTATTGGACAAAAACTGCTGAGAAAACTGGAAAATAGTATGGCAGAAACTAAGCATAGACCAACATCTTACACCATATACCAAAATAAAGTCAAAAGGGATACATGATTTAGATATAATGGCTGATACTATAAGCAAATTGGGAAAGCCTGTAAGATTTATGGAGAACAGAAGAATTTATGACCAAACAAGAGATAGAGAACATTATGAAATGCAAAAATTGATAATTTTGATTACATTAAATTGAAAAGTTTTTGCACAAACAAAGCCAATGCAACCAAGATTAGGAGGGAAGCAGAAAACTGGGAAAGAATTTTTACAACCAGTGTCTCTGCTAAGGGCCTCATTTCTAAAATATATAGAGAACTAAGTCAAATTTATAAGAATACAAGTCATTCCCCAATTGAGAAATGGTCAAAGGATATGAACAGGCAGTTTTCAGTGGAAGAAATTAAAGCTATCTATATTACATGAAAAAATGCTCTAAATCACTATTGATTAGACAAATGCAAATCAAAACAACTCTGAGGTACCACGTCACACCTATGGGATTGGCTAACATGACAAAACAGGAAAATGATAAATGTTGGAGAAGACATGGGAAAATTGGAATACTAGTATATTGTTAGTGGAGTTGTAAACTGATCCAGCCATTCTGGAGAGCAATTTGGAACTATGCCCAAAGGGCTATAAAAATGTGCATACCCTTTGACCCAACAATACCACTTCTAGGTGTGTATCCCAATGAGATCACACAAATGGGAAGAGAACCCACGTACAAAAATATTTATAGCAGCTCTTTTTGTGGTTGCAAAGAATTGGACTTCGAGGGGATGCCCATCAATGGGGAAAGGCTAAACCAGTTGTGATATATGAATGTGCTATTGTGCTATACTTTTGTGCTATAAGAAATAATGAGCAGTCAGACTTCAGAAAAACCTGGAAAGACTTACATGGACTGATGCTGAGTGAAGTGAGCAGAACCAGGAGAACATTGTATACAGTGACAGCCACATTGTGTGATGACTGACTGTGATAGATTTAGCTCTTCTCAGCAATGCAAGGATCTAAGACATCTCCAAAAGTCTCAGGATAGAAAATGCTGTCCACATCCAGAGAAACAACTATGGAATTTGAATGCAGATTGAAGCACACTATTTGCTCTTTTTTTCCCTCCTGTTTTGTTTGTTTCTTCTTTCTTGTGGTTCCTCCTATTGGTTTTAATTCTTCTTTACAACATGACTAATGTGAAAATATGTTTAATAGGAATGTATATGTAGAGCCTATATCAGATTGCACGCTGTCTTGGGGAGGGGGGAAGAAAGGGAGGGGGAGAAAATTTAAAACTCAAAAGCTTATGGAAGTGAATGTTGAAAACAAAAAAATAAATTAAAGAAAAATAAAACCCTTCACAGACTTGCTACAGCTTACTGTATATTATCAACCTTACTGTATGTTACTCCTTCATTCACTGTACGGTTCAGCTAAATGGGCCTTCTTTCTATTCCTGACTGATAGCATTCCCACCTTAGTGGCTTTGTGTAAATTGTGTTACCTACCTGGAGTAAACTCCTTTGCCTCTGCTCCTCAGAACCTAAAGATTCCTTGAAGGCTTAGCTGAAATTCTACTTCCTTCATTAGACCTTTCCTAGTCCACCCAACTGCCAGTGCCACTTCTTCCTCAACTAAAGACTTTACTTTGGCTTTATTTGTATGTTGTTGTCTCATCTGATAGAATGTAATCTCCTTGAGAGCAGGGACTGCTTCATTTTTGTCTTCGGCTTCCCAGCATCTGGTATGTAGTAAGCTCTTAAGAAATGCTTCTTCAGTTGATTAAGGAATAAAAATAGTTAGTCTTTCTGTGTTGGGTATCTAGTAGTTGAAGTTTTTATGAGCTATATTAGAGAAAATGGGAGGTAGTTTTCACTAACTTAATCCCAAAGCACAGTTAATATGGTGCCTAAGATTTTTTTTGTTTTGAATATTCTGAATGTCACTCCTAGACAAAATTTTCATGTATGTGAATGACCAGCTACTTTTGAGTTATGTGGATTGACATTAAACTGATTTTTCTGTGAAATTTCAAATATGTGAAGGTAGTTGCCTAATATCTCAATTTGTTTTTTTTTCCCCTAGGAATACAGGGCAGGTTATCTCCAGGAACACAGGAAAAACAGCAAAGTGGAGTCAAGTACATGCAGCAGCTTCATGGGCTTGAAGGATCACTTGGGGCATGACCTAGGCCACCTTTATGTGGAGAGCACTGACACACACATAAGTGCTGTTGTACCTTGGTCAATGGTGGAGAAACCAACAATGGATAAAGTTAACTCTAGGAAGGAAGATGCAGAAAAGGTGGTATCCAAAGATATTGAAAGCTCCAGTTGTGATTCAGAAGAAAACACAAATTCTGATAATGATTCAGAACAACTGGGTAGCATTGCAGTAGAACCATGTTTGTTAACCAAGACTCATAGACAGCTACGTAGGTCTCCCTGTTTAGAGCCTCACATATTCAAATGCAACGAAATCTTGCAAGACTTAAAAACAGAGGAGACACAGACAACGCCTAAGGAAGTGAAGAAGCCCCCTGATGTGGTGAAAGAATACCAAGCCAAACTGGAGTTTGCACTTAAGTTGGGTTATTCTGAAGAACAGGTTCAGCTTGTGCTAAATAAACTTGGTACTGATGCTTTAATCAATGATATCTTAGGAGAACTGGTCAAACTTGGAAATAAAAGTGAAACTGATCCAACTGTTAGTACAATTAACAGTAGCATAATTAGAGAACCATCTTCCCTAGAATCTCAGAGATCTGACTCCCCACTTCAGGAGATCATGACAGATGATGGTGAGAATCTGAGACCAGTAGTTATTGATGGCAGCAATGTGGCAATGAGGTATGTAGGAAATCTTTCTTCACTAACTGTTGCTGAAGTGATTTCTTGTTTTGTGGTCCTTATGTAATCGTAATTGTTGAAAAATGATTTAAGTTCTCTCTCCATTCCTCGTGATACGGAATGAACTCATTTATTACTTAATTGAACTCTTTTTCCTTACCTTGCTCCCAACATCAAATACATTCTCAAATTTGTCACTTATTTTTACTTACTTTCCTAGACTGGTACACATACTTTAAGGATATCAGTTTTAATCACTGATACTCTAGAAATGAAGATTTTGTGAGACTATGCAACAGTATAGTAGAGTCAATTACCTATTTCATTATGAGAACTAATAATCATTGGGGAAACCCTGATTCTTGGAAAATAAATTAGATATTTTTCCTTATGTGAGAAGAAGTTGTAACTATTTTTTTTGTTTCCTAATCCATCTTAAGAACTATAGTCAAGGAATAGCATCTTTGAGAACTGGAAAAACTGAATAAATGCTAGGAAAATTAACTGGGTAAGTCACCAGTGAAAAGGCATTAATATTTTGATGGCTTAATTTTTGTGAATTATTCTTTGAATTGTTCATTTTAGATGAGTTTGCTTTGCCCGGTGAAGTTATCCAAATGTTCCTAGTTAATTGAGAAGTGTCATGCAGATGTGAGAATATTTTGTCATCTGGTGTAAATTTATTTTTTTTTTCATTTAGATGGTCATGAAAAGTTAAGAAATTTCTTGGCCTAAGATTACTGAAGGACAAGAGTTTAGTGGCCAGTGAGCTACCAAGTAGCAATTTGAGGAACCCTAAATTAGTCCATGTAAATGCATTTTCAAGGTTAGCTATCCTTGAGATGCCAGTGGCCGCCCCAATTCTACATTCACATAGCAGTTACTTAGATTATTGGAAATTCACATAAAACCATAGGCTTTGCCCATACCTTGTGATGCGAAACCATTTTATATACTATCCATGGCAATCTTTTGATGTAACAATGGATTTGGACAGTTTTGGTTTAAAAAAAATAGATGCACAGTAATAGGCATTGCATCCAATAGCATTTTCTCCATTAATTATGGAAGAGAAAAAGCTCTCTCCTCCACCAACTAATAGAGGAAGCTAGCCTAATTTTTAACGTCCAAAAAAGATAGAAAATATGGATTTATTGTTCCCTTCTACCACCAGAAAATATATTTTGTCAGAGCTTCAATACCTCAACATAACTCTGGGTATTATGGGAATGTGGTTATTCCTTTCACTGGTATAGATTATAATCCATCAATATATTCTCATTCTGTGAAGTTCTGTCTAGGATCTTCTCTCATCCACTGAGGCCTTAATTAATCAGCATGTTGCTTACTTTACATTTTTTTTAACAGAAAAGTCCATCTGTTTTCACATGTTCTTGCCACATGACTGGGCACGCCTCTATATCCACTCATGCATTTTTTTCAAAGATGTCCTTTATACTACCTCTTTCCTGTATTCCTCGTTGCAAACATGCTGAAGCTTACTTTCACTCACTATATGTCAATCACTGCATTGCCTTTTGGGTCGCTAGCCTTTGATTCGTCGGGAAAATAGTATTCCAGTATTCATAATCACGCATCATTGCTAGGAGAATATTTGCATTAAAAAAACAGTTTTTTTATGCTGGGGAGCAGCTTGAGATTATTAAAAACACTGCACAGTTTACCTAATGCAATCTAATCCCTCTCTTCTTCCCATTCAGTTCTGGCTCCAGCTTATTTGTTCATCTGTAATTCTTGTCCCATATGTATTAACTCAGTTGACTGGTCATGAAACTGCTTGTTGAACATGCACGTCTGAACAATTGTCATTTTTCATCCATTTACTTTTCCTTCTGTGGATTCTTCTGATTTATTTTTTTTTTTTACTAATCATATATCTTATAAAGCCCACTTATGGGCCAAGTCTTGATGTAATCAACACAATATAATCCACTAACACCCACTAACATGTGGAGGACCTCACCTTACATAAGAAATTGTCTTCCATTTTTATCTGGTAGTTGATATCACTGATGAAAATACCTTTAGCAAAAAATATCTCTCTCAAGGGATCATAGATGCTTCAAATTCATGAGAGATTCCTTTAAGACTGTATTCTACATGGGGCCGCTAGGTGGTGCAGTGGATAGAGCACCGTCCCTGAAGTCAGGAGGACCTGAGTTCAAATCTGGCCTCAGACCAAACACTTGGTACTTACTAGCTGTGTGACCCTGGGAAAGTCACTTAACGCCAATTGCCTAAAATAAAAAAAAAGACTATTCTACAGAATCCATCTTTGTTCTGATAGCAGTAAAAACAATAGCAGTCCCCTGCACCTTTCAGTCAATTGTGCACTTAGCTCTAAAGAATCATAGGTGAGTCTGCCTGTTCTCTTCCTATATATTCATTAAGGGTATACTCATACATGTGTAGATAATGCTCAGAAAAGCTGAGGAAGTAGATATATGTATCTGTACTTACTGAATTTCTTTCCATTGTCTTTTTGTGCAGAAAATTATCTGAGGTCTTCCCAATTCTTTTGGTATTTTACTTCTCCCTGAGATATTTTGTAAAACTATTCCCAAGTGATTCTGTTACCTTTAGCAGGTTTCCTTGGGATGTGTTTGATTTGGTACCAGCACTCTTTCTTTACTTCATCTTTGCACTGGGGCTAAGGTGTTATAGTCTAAATATGGTAGTTCACTTGTCCCTTTTGATAAAAAAAGATACCATTATGGAAACATGGATAAATTTGTTGTCCTATTTCCAAATCTTTTGTAAATGTTCTCATGATGACGTAGCTCAATTGGGTCTTACACCAAGATTTCTGTAGATTTGTTTCCGTTACCACTGATTGTTGTTGTTTTATGTGGCAGAACTGCTTATAATCTTTCACCAACTTTCTACGTGGAGTTTTGCAAATGAGTTTGTATTTTGAACCAATATTGTTGCCCTTGACTTTCACGTATCTCTGCTTGGCAGAAAGTTGGAATATTTGTAGTTGTCTCTTATTATGGTGACTGCTTTTCATGGGTTAAGTTCCTTTAGAAAATGATGATAATTGAAGTCATATCTTTTTCTTTTCCCTTTTCCCATTATAGGGTTAGCAGCTTATTTAAGTAAGTCATGTTAAAATGTTGCAAATATTTGCCTAGTATTCTCATAATTTTTTATTTAATGTTGATTTTGGCCTTTAGTTAATTGATGGTCTGATTTTAGTAAATCTCACACATCAATAATTAGTCATTTCTTTTCTTTTGGGATAGTCCATTTATGTCTTGTGATGCTTTATGGTGTTTGCCATGCCCACCACCCTCAAGTTCTCTTCTTTGAAGAAAATACTCATGGTATGTAGGCATATGGCATCTGAGTAGTCTAAAAGTTTTATGACCTCTTGGAGGTTTTTTTTGTGTTTTTTTCCAATTACATGTAAAAGCTATTTTTTATGTTCAGTTTTTTAAAATTTTGATTCCCAAATTCTCTTGCTCTCTTCCTTTCCCCCTCATTGAGAAAGCAGGCAATTTAATATAGTTTGTATATGGGCAGTCATGAAAAACATAATTCCGTATTAGTCATTTGTGAAAGAAAACACGGACCCCTCCAAACCTTCCCAAATAAGAAGAAATAAGGGAAAAAGGGCATCAATCTGCATTCAGACTCATTCAGTTCTTTCTATGGAGGTAAATATCATTTTTCATCATAAATCCTTTGAAAGTATCTTAGATCATGGCATTTCTGAGAATAGCTAAAGTCATTCATAGTTGATCATTGTACACTATTGCTGTTACTCTCTACAGTGTTCTCCCACTTCACTTTGCATCAGCTCATGTAAGTCTTTCCAGGTTTTTCTGAAAGCATCCTGCTTGTCATTTCTTATAGCACATTAGTATTCTGTCAAAATCATGTATCAGAACTTGTTAAGCTATTCCACAATTGATGGGCATCCCCTCAATCTCCAATCCTTTGCCACCACAGAAAGAGCTGCTATAATATATGTATGTATGTATATATATATGTATATATGTCCTTTTCCTTTTTTATTTTTTATCTCTTTGGGATATAGACCTAGTAGTGGTATTGCTGGGTCAAAGGGTATGCACTATTTTATAATTCTTTGGACATAGTTCCAAATTGTTCTCCAGAATGGTTGGATTAGTTCATAACTCCACCAAAAGTGCATTAGTGTCCCAATTTTCACATCCCCTCCAACATTTGACATTTTCCTTTTCGGTCAAATCCGATAGGTATGAGGTAGTACTCTGAGTTATCTTAATTTGCATTTTTCTCATTAATAGTAATTTAGAGCATTTTTTCATATGAGTATAGATAGCTTTGATTTCTTCATCTGAAAACTACCTGTTTATAGCCTTTGATTATTTATCAATTGGAGAATGGCTTGTATTCTTACACATTTGAATAAGTTCTCTATATATTTGAAAAATGAGGCCTTTATCAGAGATATAATGGAATACTATTGTGCTATAAGAAATGATGAGCAAGCAGACTTCAGAAAAACCTGGGAAGACTTGTATGGACTGATGCTGACTTTGATAGACTTAGCTCTTTTCAGCAATAGTAGGATCTAAGAGAACTTCAAAGGACTCATGATGGAAAATGTGTCAACATCCAGAAAAAGAACTATGGAGTCTGAATGCAGATTGAAGCATATTATTTGCTCTCTTTTTTTTTCTTTGTTTTTTTCTTTCTTGTGGTTCCTCCCACTGGTTCTAATTCTTCTTTACAACATGACTAATGTGAAAATAGGTTTTCTTTCCTGTTTACCTTTTTATGCTTCTCTTGAGTCTTATAGTCGAAAGTCAAACTTTCTATTCCCTTCTCCTTTCTCCCAGTACATCCCTGTTTCTCATCCCTTAATTTTATTTGTGTGGATATCATCCCATCTTAGTCACACCCACACCCCCGTCTATGCATACCTTCTAATTGCCCCTAATAATGATAAAGATCAGAGTTACAAGTATTGTCTTCCCATGTAGGAATTC